ACTTAATGCTCAGGTTGTAAGTCGAGCGCCCTAACCACCTGGCCATGCCGGGCCGTATCATAACGTTCAATTGTGAAATGGTAAGTGTGACGTTAACCAATAAAATAAGCTGCTGATAGCATACTTAATGCTCAGGTTGTAAGTCGAGCGCCCTAACCACCTGGCCATGCCGGGCCGTATCATAACGTTCAATTGTGAAATGGTAAGTGTGACGTTAACCAATAAAATAAGCTGCTGATAGCGGCTTCTTACGTGGTTGGGCCAACCAGGTTCTTAGAAAACGTTTACATGTATTGTTACAGGTTATATGCAAACCTTTCTAGCTCGTTGGTCTTTGAGGGCCCGCCACTTTCTGAAGGTCAACAAGTTTTCTTACGATGTGGTGTAAGAGGAATTTCCAACCAAAAAGTATCACTAGAACCTACTCTATAGTTGGAGCAGATTTAAAGAATAAATACCAGCTGAATGGTAGCGGGGCGTTTCAGATCAGCTCTGGAATTTTCTAACCAGCTTCTAGAAAGTACTATTACTTCTCCTTGATACTGTAATAACTTTAGAAGCGCCTGGTGAACCCCACGATTACCAGCTGTCAGACTTTTGCGGTAAATATTCCATTATTATTCGTGAAACTTCTAGACTGTATTTGTAGAGGTGTTTTTTTTATTTCGTTATTGTCTTACTGGGTTTTTGTTTATCTCTAATGCTGAGGCCTCGTGTTTCTTACTCTTTTTTTTTTCGCGCCTAATGCTTACAAAGTTCCCTCTACTGACAGTTTTGAGAGAAATACAATATTAAAAAATAAAAAAAGTTTTGTTTAAAATTAATTCCATGATGTCATTTTTTGCTTTTAATCGAGCTGTAATAAATTAAATGTTTTTATTTTTAAGGTACACATCAACAACAAAAGACATTTTTTTTTTCACATAAACCAGGCTTTGATTTGCCAGACGAATAAAAATGGGTTCCAAATAAACTGATTATTGAAAGATACACTCGGATCTAAAGTTTTACGAGCAGTGTTCTAGACTTATTCGTTTTAATAGCATTTTTTAAGATTATAACAAATGTTTTCAGGAAATGAAGTTCCTTGCACTAATCGTTTTCCTGGGGATTACTTGGGCTCTTCCCCAGGACGATGGACCAATCTGGGGTAATACAGGAGGTTCTGTTAATAGCAGGGCTGGAAATGACGATTCCGGGAGAGATTATGACGGATGCTTGTGTGTTCCTTTCTATTTGTGTAAAGAAGATAATATTATTATTGACGGGTCAGGAATTCTCGACGCCAGACAAAAGCCACCACCAACTGCTGAGCCAGTTTTGGTATGTATTGTACTTTTTCTTCTCGTTGTTTTTAATGCAGTAATATCAGAGGCAGTTCTCGCTTGTAGTTTCAGTTTTGTGTGTGTGTGTGTGTGATATGGATGACCTTTACAAAACTTAGCTTACCTGCTATTATTCGTTAGTTATTATTCGCTGGACAACGGTAAGTTTACGTACTTACAATCCTAAAATCCGAAGTTCATTTCCTCGCGGGGGACACAACAATCACCCTAACATGGCGGCTTTGCTCTAAAAAAAAAACAGTAATCGTCGGTGATTTATTAGACTAAATAATGGTATACGTGTAAGTACGGTTATCGAAACGTCTAAGAACGGTTAACAAAACATGTAAGTACGATAAGCGAAACAAGTGCGGTCAGCGAAACTTACAAGTAGGTTAGCGAAACGTGTAAGTAGAGTTAAAAAACGTATAAATAGGCTTAGTGAAACGAGTAAATACGGTCAGCGAAAGGACTGAACTATTAATTAAAGAGGCCAACATTCGCAGGCAAATACAACGTGCAATCCCAACCTGGCCAATTATGACACCCGAAAAATCGAACCTATCTGTATCACTGCTTGGGACCTGAAAGGAGGTATCTTTTTACCAAATTCCATGCAAGTTGGTTGACATATACACGAATAGTTCATGAAAACCCCAAATTATGCTTTCTTCGCTTAAGCCCCCTCCCCAGTGGCACAGCGGTATGTCTGTGGACTTACACCGCTAAAAACCGGGTTTTGATACCCGTGGTGGGTAGGGCACAGATAGCCCTTCGTGTAGCTTTGTGCTTAATAAAAAAAAACAACAACAACAATCGTCGCTCAAAAATTAAACAAAAGACAAAACTTACAAAATTGTCTATATTCCTGTTTGGGACCGGTAAAAAAATTATCTTTGTATCAAATCCCATGTAAATTGTCCAAAATACAACAGAGTTATTGTAAAAAAAAACAACTAAAATTATGCTTTTGATGGCATTTTAAGCCCCTTATACTTACCAAAAATGGGCAAGTCCAACATCTTTGATTGTCAATTTACGTTCCCGTAGAAAAGTATCTTTGTACCAAATTCCTTGTAAACTGATTGAAAAAAGGCTAAGTAATAGTAAAAAAAAAAAACAACAACTAAAATTATGCTTCCTTAACCCCCTATAACTATTAAAAATGGATCCATTTTTGTTTTTAATGTGTAGGACTTGTAGTAAAGTATCTTTATGCCAAATCTCATGTAAATTGGTTAGAATACTGCAGAGTAATTGACCCAAACCCCCCAAATTATGCTTGTTTGTGAACTCTGACACCCCTAAAAAAGACTCAAAGTGGGCAAATCTAACTTTTTTTATGTCAATGTGTTGAGCGCATAAAAATTTATATTTGTGACAATTTTCATCTTGATCGTACATTTTTGGGTTGTTTTACTTTTGACCCCATAAAATCCTTTAAAAAAGGCCTAAATAAAAAAAGGAAAATGTGTCTGAGATTATTGGACCAAAGTACAACACTACGAAGTTTCAAATCAGTCCGCCGAGAAAGAGAGGAATGGCGGACGACTGAAACGTGTTTGAAAGAAGATGGTTTATGGTTTATTATGAATTTCGCGCAAAGCTACACGAGGATTATCTGCGCTAGCCGTCCCTAATTTAGCAGTGTAAGACTAGAGGGAAGGCAGCTAGTCATCACCACCCACCGCCACTCTTTTACCAACGAATAGTGGGATTGACCGTCACATTATAATGCCACCCACGGCTGAAAAGGCGAGCATGTTAGGTGTGACGGGGATTCGAACCCGCGACCCACAGATTGCGAGTCGAGCTCTCTAAACATCTGGTCATTCCGGGCCTTGGAAGAAGAAGAAACAATATAAAAACAGTACATCTCTCTGAGGAGACATAATGACTGTAAATGAAGATAAGTATTGAGCTACTTATCAGTTATTGACACATTTAACCTTCTTGGTGTGTAATCAGCTGGTACAGTCCAGTTGTGATGTAGTAATAAGGATGGTACAGTCCAGCTGTGGTATGATGTGGTAATAACGA